CCTCCCCCGGCAGCATGTGATGAGGAGTTAGGGTCCTGTGGCGGACCCATCGCCATGTGGATGGTGGTCCTGGGAGCCAGGCGCCCTGACCGACGTCCGGGGGGGACCATCTGCTTGTTCTAGACTTGCCTCGTTCGTCTGCTGTGAACACCTGGGGTCACCTGCCTACGTTTCCCTGATTATCAAACTAGGACACGTCTGAGGTCATTTCAGGGAAATCGGAAAGCACAGAGGCAGCCCGAGGCACCATGGTTTCTGGGGCTCTGGAACCAGCCCCACCAGGGGGCCCCTCACGGGGTTTCAGCCCCTCCGGGCCTCAGTCCCCTCATCTGTAAGGAAAGCGGGCGCTGCCGGCCAGCCTCCCAGGGGAGGGTCGTGCTCCCTGTGCTGAGGCTCAGTGTCTGCCGTGGGAAGGCTGTGCTCCCTGGGCCCCTCAGTCTCTGCAGCCCCGCTTCCTGGCCATGTTCTGCACTGAACTGTGTCGTAAGAACACTGGGTCTGGGCTCCGAAACCAGCCCTCGAGTTGCCCGGCCTCTCAGTGGAAGGCTGCACCCTGTCCGGTCTGCCCGAGGTCAGCTTTCTGAGCCAGAAGCGGGGAAAGGGTCCTTGACTGGCAGGGCCCTGAGCACCGAGCGAAGGAAGCTCTGGGAGAAGGGCGGTGTGGGTCGTAACCTGCCTCGTAAGTGCCAGGTGTCGCCATCGCTGCTGCTTTAATGCTGTGTGTCTCTCTCTACTCGAGGCTGCGTTTCACCAGCTTTTCCCCCTGTGAGAAGAGGAGACTCAGTAGAACTGGTTACCTAAGAAAAGGGAAGTCGGATGCTCGTTTCTCCCCATCCAGCCCTGAAGCTGGCAGCTCTCTGGGCCCTTCCCGTGACCTCCTTTCTGCGGGGTGGCAGCGTGGAAAGTTATTTCCAGGCAGAAGTGTTCTGTGTGAGACCAGAAACCGGGGTGGTTTAATCGCTGGACAGAGGGTTACTTACTGAGCACCGCCTTGTACGGGCTGCGGTGCTAGGGTGTCAGGGGCACTTGCGCTGGTTTAGCCCAGGTGTGTGAGACGCACAGACACGGAATGACCCCAATGATACAGACCCTTGGGGACAGGAGACGGGCCTGGGCACCACACGGGGAAGCACCAGGGCTGGCTGGAGGGCAGAGGGCATGGGGAGCGTGCATAGGAGCTCTGTTGCGGTTTCTGCAAGAAGGAACAGTGAGGCAGGGTAAGCAGGCGGGGGAGGACTGGCTGGCTGGAGTACTTCCTGCAAGCTCTGGGCTTAGGGGCTGCCCCTGGCTGTCTGGGGCCTGGCCCTGGGGAGGGCAGCAGGAGAGTAGCCCAGAGCGTGGCAGCTGGGGTGTGGGCCCTGGGGAGCGGGTTTGCAGGGCCACTGAGCATGGTTTGGAGCCCAGGAGCAGAGCAAGTCTGGAAGCTATTTGAGGACCCACAGGGTGATCGGGTACCCTTCTGACCAGCAGTTGGTAGGGTGGGTCTCCAGGCCCAGGAGGAGGCCAGGCTGGAGATGGAAGAGCAGGGAGCGTCTACACCGGGAGGAGGGTCAACATGGGAGTGATGGACAAGGGCGAGGGGGAGCTCGCAGGGCAGCCGGGCCTGCCTACCAGGCGGGCAGGGTCGGGGGGGCGCTGCCGTGAGGGCTGACCTGTGAGTAGGCAGCCGTGGAGCTGAGCAGGAATCCAGAAGTGGGCTAGACTCAGCTGAAAAGGGGCTTTCATGTGTGATGAGGATGACCTCACAATTCACTGAAGTAATGAAGGTTTCTCCGTAAATTTTGTTAAGACTATTAAGACCCACCTGCACTTGGGAACTTGGCAGAGGCGGCTGAACGTGGAGCATGCACTGAACGCCACTGAGCTGGTACACTTGACAGCAGTTAATTTTATGTTGCGTGAAAGTCACCCAATTTTAAGGAAAAAAGCACCATCAGGAAAGGGACCCCCGCCTCACACCACAGACCACGACCAACTGCAGGCGTATCAGAGGGTACATGCAGGAGGTGAAGCTGCACCTGCAGGCGGTGACGGGAGCGGTCACACACCACGTGAATGCCCTCAGCGCCCCCGGACGGCGTGCTTAAATGCGGTTCATGTGGACTTCGTGTCCGTGTGTTACCCCCAAAAGGCGTGAAGCCATGAAAGAACTCAGAAAAAACGCCACATTCCACCATAACCCTGGGGGAGAGAAGGCCTTTACACCTAAGAATCAAAACTTAAGAAGCCATGGAAAGAAAAGTAGGTAATTTTTTAAAATAAAAACCTTCTTTAGCTGAACACAACATAAACGAAGCAAGAGGACAAATGGCTGACTAATATACAAAGAGCTCTCTTAACTACCAAGAAATACGAGACCCTGATGGAGAAAACAAGCAGCGACAGGAATTCTCAGTTTAGCAGAAAAGACGCACAAGTGTCTCAGAACAGAAGACGTCCTCCCTGCCCTCTCTCCCCTCTCTTAGTGGCAGAAATCCAGACACCAAACGACACGCTTTGTCAGGAAGGCTGAGAGGGACAGGTCTTCCCGAACCTCGACGGCAGAGTCACCGCGGGTGGCCCACGCGGACAGGATTGGGCAGCTCCCAGAAGGGCCCACGCACCCACCTTTAACCGGCACCCCTGCATCTAGACCAATGTCCTGAAGGTGCGCCTTCACAGGAGGGAAGCACTCCCAAGTGCTCCGTTACAACAGCTGGGCTGTCACACAGGCGGACTGGCTGAGAGCGGGCTGGAGGAAGCTGCGCAGGGGCGCCGTGCAGCCCTGCCAGACCGGGGGGGCTCTTGGCCTGTCTGGGATACGCAGTCTTCTCCAGAAAAGGTTCAAAGTGAAAGAAACTGGCATAGAGCAGGGTGGGTGTGTGGCATGCTCCCTTTTATGTGAAGAAAGGAGGAAAGTCATAGCAGGGAGGGAGGGAGGTAGTTTTCTTATTTTGACAAAAAGAAATGTTTTGAGGAAAAAAACACAAAGTAATTACAGTGATGACCCATCGGGGACGAGAGGGGAGGGGGCGGGGGCAGGGGCAGGGCGGCCCTGGACCGCTGCTCTTCCATAGCCCTCACGGTTGTGCCAGGTAGATGTTTACATAATCAGAAGGGAAAATTAAATTGAAAGGCGAAACAGCACAATTTGTAGTTGCAAGCAAATGTTTTAAAATTAATGAATCTAATCGTACCTCAGATTAGTAACACAAGCGCACAGGGAAAATAATTATCACGTTTTTGTCATGTTTTGAACTTTGAACCCAGTATCTGGCCACATCATTACTGAGCTGTGTTTGGAGCACGGGGGAGGGGAGGGGGGATTACTGTTTAGCAGGTGTATCAGTCAGCTCCGGCCACCGTAACAAAGTACCACAGACAGAGTGACTCGCATGATAGAGTTCGTTTTCTCAGAGTTCTGGAGTCTGGAAGGCCAAAGCGGAAGTGTCCACAGGGCTGGTTTCCTCGGAGGCCTCCTCGGCCTGCAGATGCCACCTCCCCCCCCACGTCCTCACGCAGGCATCCCTGTGTGGGTCTGTGTCCTGCTGTCCTCTCTGTAGAGGGACACCATCAGGTTGGGTCGGGACAACCCCAGGGACCTCTTTCACTTATTACCTGTTTAAAGGCCCTGTCTCCAAATGCAGTCACACCCTGTGGGGTTTAGGGCTTCAGCTCATGGATTTTGGTCGGGTTGGGGGATGCGGCTCAGTGCCTGCCGGCCAGTGTTAGGTCTCAAGTCTGGGGCTGGAGGGTGGTGCACATGGAAGAATGTGTAAGATGGTAAATTTTGTGTTGTGTGTATTTTAGCACAATAAAAAGTGAAAATACATTTAAGAAGGGAAAGAACCCTCAGAGGGGCAAAAGGGTGGGTGACAGAGCAGCCGGCCCCCAGGCTGTGTTGTCGGAGGGGCTGGTGGGCGCATGAGAGGCAGACGGCCCGAAGTGGGATTTTGTGGTCTGACCACCTGGAGGATTTCCGAGTCCAAGGTCTGGGTGGCAGATTGGTCCCTGCTGCTGCCAGGGCCTCCCTGTCTGTCTGTGAAATGAGGGCTTCGCTCATCGGCTATCATCACCGCGCCTCCCTGGCAGAGGTGGTGGGAGGGTCAGGCAGGTCCCCAGCTGCCGCCCGTGTTCTCTGGGAGCTCTTTGTCTTCTGCAGTTTTCATACCCTCACATCAGCGGGGCTCAGCTTGAATCTGGAAGTCACAGTTGGCACGTGGTTTCTATAGTGACGGGCGTCCTTCAGAGGGGGGCGTGGAGGGACCCTCAGGACAGAGCTGGGGGACAGATGATAAAATCTAGGAGGGGAGAGTGTGACCTGGTTTTATTGCTGCTTCGTTGAACAGACTTCTGGCAAACACCGACTCCTCTGTCACGTGGTTCACATCGTTGTCACCGGGAGCTATAAAGTGAGGTGACTGGGTGCAGCACCCCCTGGTGAGAAGCTCACTCTTGGAAACACAACTGTGAGGGTCAAGGAGCTGGGAAAACCCAGAGAAGTTTGTGCCTCGTCGGTCTTGCTTCTGTGGGACTTGAGGCTCTGAGAGCTCTCCGTGTGTCTGTCCTTCCTTTATCCCTGCGAAACAGCCACGAGGAAGGCATCCTGGCTGCGTGGACAGGCTTTGCAATATTTCTTTTTATTTTAAGTTTTTTGAGCAGGGAAGTAATTTACTTTATTTGTTTTTAACGGAGTTACTGGAGATTGAAGCCAGGACCTCACGCATAGGCATGCATTCTACCACTGAGCTGTACCCTCCCCCTGCTTTGCAGTACTTACATCCTGGTTCGTCACTTCCTGACTGTGTGACCTTGGGCACGTTTCTTAACGTCTCTGTGCTTTAACTGACTAATCTGTCAACTGTGGGGAAAAGAATCCCCATGTTGGGGAGTGGTGGGAAGGGCTCAGTGGGGTGTTCCATCCGGGCCCTCCAGAAAGAGTGGCTGGTAGTTCTGTAAGGAAACGGCAGGTTTGGTAGGTGTCAGCCTCTGTAACTGGCTCTGTCTCCCTTCCCTTCCAGTCGGCCACGGGCAGAGCGAGGGGGAGAGGATGGTCGTGTCTGACTTCCAGGTCTTCATCAGGGATGTGTTGCAGCACGTGGACCTGGTGCAGAAGGACCACCCCGGGCTTCCGGTCTTCCTTCTGGGCCACTCCATGGTGAGTAGACCGCGTGGGGAAGACCCGGTGGTGGGAGAGTGAGGGCCCGGGGTGAGAGGGGCCTCCCAGCCTCCTACCCCGGCTCTCCGCCCGGTGGGCACATCGCCTCTGCTTGGCCTGCACGTGGAGGTCCTGGGGTCAGTGTCCTGGAGACAGCCCCTTCCTGTCCGGGCCCAAGGCGCCAGGGGGTGCCCGCTGTCTGAACTGAGGGGCTCTGGTGGGCCTCACAGGACAGGGCATGGCACCGCTGCCACCGGCACAGCCACGTCTCGGGGAGGGGCCTGCAGTCAGCACGTGGGGAAGTACAGTGCCTCCTGCCCATCTCAGAGTCACTCGGGATAGACGGGACCTAGGACCGGGGTCCCGAGGGAGCAGGTCCTTAAAGGTCATTCAGAATCCTTTTCACCTTTTAAGTATATAAAACCCTCTAAGATGCAGCCAGGCGTAGTCTGTGAATTGGGGCTCCTCCACCTGCCAGAACTGCCTGCAGGCCCACTGCCGTGCCGGCTGGCACAGAACCTTTCTCTGTGCAATGCTGAAAGCTCGGGGACTTTTCAATCCCGGGCAGGCCTTCGCCCGTGTGACCACCTGGCCTGTCAGCATTTGTGGTTTCAGCCCTCAGTTCAAGTTACCTTCGGCTGCAGCAAATCGCCAAGGCCTAACCCTCACCCATGTTTACAAGGCATTTTTCTTGGAACCTAGATTTCTGGGACCTTTACTGAAATAGGAAAAAAAAAGTGTATCAGTCTCTTATTATCATCAGATTTTTAAAAATCTCATATTAAGCCTGATGGAACGGATGACTTGGGGGTCTGCCAGCTTTTGGCTTGAGATGAAGGAGAAATGTGTTATTGTTTAACTTGCAGCCCACAAGCAGGAGCTTTATTTATATCCTTCTGAAATGTTTGCTCTTGAAGAACCTGGAGGAAAAGAAACACATGTAATAAAATAATTGGAGATCTAGTTTATCCAACATTCGAGGGTGTCTGTTCCAAGGTGACCTCCCCAGGCTCTGGGCCAGGACTGCCGCCTGGTAGGGCCCGTGGTGGCATGGTGAGTGCACTGGTGGAGCCAGCAGCCACAGCTCTGCCCATTCTGCGTTGCAGGGAGGGGCCATTGCCATCCTGACGGCCGCGGACAGGCCGGGCCACTTCTCCGGCATGATTCTGATTTCCCCGCTGGTTCTCGCCAACCCCGAGTCCGCAACAACCTTCAAGGTGAGCACGCTCCAGGGTCTGTTGTCCTGCAGCTTCTCGGCCCCAGGGTGGCTGTTGCTAGCC